AAGACTCAAAAGTAGTTGTGTTAATAAAATTTTGTAATATAGCTCCTTAAAGTTTGCATTTTCCTATGATTTATTATGAGATTTACAACATAAAAATTGATTTTCCGAAGATCTTTTTTTTGTCAATTTCGTCCCTTTCCTTAGCACCTAGCCCATATATTGAATTAACTCCGCTTTAGCCGATCCCAAAAATATAAAGGTCAGGGGCTACTCTTTAATAATCGAACCAGATAAAGAAATACTTACCCCCAGTTGTAAATTTGAATCTCTTACTAGTATAACTGTTCACGACTAACATTTGGGCACGATCTATTTAGTGACGCCAGTTACTAAATTAACCACGACAATAGAAAAAACATAATACAATTTTTCGTCCCTTAAAATTATTTAAATAGTATAGAGCATTGCTGAATTTAATGTGACTAGATGGTTCGGACTATATACAGTGTATGATCCTGGCAAAACTATTCAAACTATTTACTATTAAATAAAGAAATTCCGCATTTCGGACTAGTAATAAATTACAGTCAATTATAAATATAGTTGTTAATTTGTTAACAACGGTAATGTATCAAAAATCGAATATTGCATCGAATAATCAAAAAATAAGAAAATACCAATGGACTAAATAAATCAAGCCAGTACTAGTTTTTCCTTCGATTCGATTAATTATTAGAATCTATATAATATCCAATATAGTTACGTTATAAATTAAAGAAATTACAAATAGATATCCCTTATAAATATTTATTCTAAAATACTCTATTGTTTAATTCTATTCGCATAATAATTGTTCAGGTAACTCATCAGGAACCGGATTTCCTCTTAGTCGTTCATCGATCAAAAACATACCAACACAAAATTCGTTTTTGGATAAACGTCCATCTTCATCAGTGTCCAAGAGAACCCTTAAATCAGTAAATTTTATTACAGGTTTGTTCATCTTAAATACCATAAGATTAAATACAAAATAAAGCATCATGTTACCATATTTTACATAAAGTTTGATTATCCAACCGACTTCGTAAGTATATTTCCTTGACAACAGCTCCTAATAAAATGAAATGTTTAATATAGACAATATTCTTAAATTCAGCTGATTAAAAATCGACTAAAAAGATATTCACCATCAATATATCCATCATCGTCCTTATTTGCTTGAAAAACAATTTCATACCGTTTTCTAGCATCAGGCTTAATACCTTGAGATAAATTATGTTCTAGATTAAATTACATTCATAATAAAATACAACAATTATAAAATAATTTATGAATACTTTGATTAATTTATATAAGAGGTTAGGTTAGATTCATTACCTTTGAAAGGATTATTATGCTGCGCAGGCCTACGAGGAATTTTAATTTCTGAATTATTAGTTTTCCTTGAAGGAATCGAAGGCTTCAGAGAATTTGATTTTGTTAATGCATTAGAAACCATATCGGACGCCTTTGAAAATGTAAATCCATTATTAGAGTTGTTACTGGATCTCGATTTTTGAGATTCAGATCCATTCTCTTTACGTAATTCTGCTACTTTATCATCAAAAGCCTCCCCTGCAGCCTTTTGTGCTTGCTTGTCAGCCTCTATTTGAGCACGCTTTTCTACACGATTTAAAAATCCTTCAGGAACTTTTTTTCCGTATTTTGATTCACCATACTCAGCTAAATAATCATATAGTTAATGGTAAAAATATAATTTAATAAGGATAATAATATTTTATACAAATAAACTTACCTTTGCCTTGCACAAATGCCTGTGATATGCCCCGCCTTGCGGCTTGCCCAGCCATATCTTGTGTAGTACTCTTTACTTGGCTTTGAGCTTGATCAATCTTTTTTGAATCAAACACCTTTGTCTTTTATGAATGGTATAAATTAAATATTTAACATAATATAATGAATAAACTCGACACTAAACGAATAAAAGATTTACTTACTATTTGCCCAGATTTCGCAGATATTGAGGGAGTCTGAGGAGGTTCATTATTATCATCATTCGTTAGTGAAGATGAGGAAGATGGCTTTCTTGGCGGTAATGGTGGCTTTGAAGTATTTACATTATCATCCTTAACTTGTCTTGGAGGTAAAACAGGAGTAATTTTATTATTTAAACTAGATGATTTAGGTTTTGGAGTAATGACGGGGGGTCTCGCTGGAGCTACTGGTTTTTGTGATTGATTAGCACTACGATCGAAATTTGCTTTAATATCCTTAACGGAAATTCTTGGTATTTCCTCTTCATTTGGTTCCTCCGATAAATCCTTTTCTATATAAGATGTATTAGGCTGAACTTTCGGTTTTACAGCGGGTGGTATCTTTAATGATGGCTTATTTCCGATAGAAGTTGTAGTTTTCGACTGAGGAACCTCATTAGATGAATCTTAATAAATAACGATAATACAGTAAGACAAATAATTAAGGAAAGGTTGTATATAAACCGTTTCATACTTACTTAACTTCTCTGCGTCTTGGATCGGTTTCCTTGGAGGCAAACGTGGAGGGAGTTTCGGTGGCGCCTTAAAAAATATAGAATATTCATATTAAACAGTTTATTGAACGGTGTTAGGCAACCTTTACATCCAGTGAATTTTACTAGACACTAGACGTGTATAATTTTAGTTTGCTTAACCCTAATAAAAGTTTCTTATTGATAAAATTGCAACTTTATGAATTTTAAAATTCACCGGATAATCCGATTGTCCGATCGCCCAACCCTAAATTATTGAAATAAATTGATAGAATATGTAGATACCTTTTCTTCGCATACTTCTACATAATTCTCCGGTATAAGCCCGCATTGCTGAGAATTTTCCTTTCTACCGCGCAACCAACCTAGTTCTTCCGTTTCAACCACTAATGAAGTATTAAACAAGGGTTCGATTAATTAAAATTGTTAAAGACATCCGACGACGCGATAAAAATAGCTTACCATCGACGATTATGTCGCCTTTCTTGAAAGATAACTCCGAAGCATCTTCGGCAGAGCAATCATAAAGAGCCTTAACTCTGAGCGGCATGTTTATACACGATTATATTTGCAAATGTGAAGGTGTACCAAAAATGGTTTGTTTTTGACTTGTGCAAAAAATAGTCTCGAATTAAAGTAGGGAACTTAGCATAACGATAACGATAACGATAATGTAAATTGTTACTGGTTAAAAATAGATCAGTGTTTTTTTTTTAACGTTCAATGTTCTGTTTTTGATAACAAATCCTGTGACCTGTATAATGTTATCGTTATATCAGTTATATCGAATAGTATATTCTCGATAACTGATTGTTCTTTTAAGGTACGTACATACATTACAAAAATCTACCGATAAGTATAATAAGTCTGCAACTATTAGAAATTAATCTGGCTTTTTTTCAACTAAGTCGACTAAGCCAATAATTTATCAATATATAATATCGACATATGTATATGCTGTATGACATTAGATTTCTTGACTCCTTTCTCCTTTCTCTACCCAAAAAACCCGTAAAATCTTAATTAGATTACGTATAAGTATAATTATTTAAATTTATACGTACTGTTTGCTAAATACAATATTATTTACCGTTACCTGACTGATTGCCTAACGCAAAAACAAAATTGGTTTACGTACTGTTTTACTGATTGATTTGGTAGAACCTCCGATTGGTCAAAATTATCACGAACCAAGTACAATTTAAATTACAGTAAGCGGTAAAATTATACATATTTTGGTTTACTTCTTTATATTGCAACTCGAGTAGAAATCAGAACCTTTTTTGTGAAAAAAAAAAACTCGTTCTGAATGCTTAACATATATTAAAGAAGAATATATGAAAAAAAGTTTTACTTTATCTGATTTTAAAAAAAAGCGTTATTGATGTTCGTACATTTCTTAAAAGTCGGTTTGCTCTTCGCAAACGTTTAGTTTTACTACCACTAGGAACAACTCTTTTTTCAATATGTAAGGTTCAATGCAAAAATAAATATCTATTTCTTTATGAACCCCGACAAACTATATACTCATTGCATTATCTAATCTCAAAGTGAAAAAAATATTGTGATCATAAGGAAGCAGAGATAGATTTAGGTCGCTCTCAAGCATCGTTCTTAATGTGATTAGCTAATGATCATAATAGTGCTCAAGCATAATTATATTTACATTGAAAATTTGAATATGGGCTAGGTGCTATAGAAAAGGAAGAAATCACCAAATTTTTTAAAATTAATTTTTTAATATAAATTAATTTAAAATACAATCAAGATCATTTTTTACTTAAAACACAAAAGTAGTTTTATTAATAAAATTTTGCAGTATAGCTCTTCAAAATTTATAATTTCTTATAGCTTATTATAAAATTTATAATATAAAAATAGATTTTCCGAAGATCTTTTTTTTGTTGATTTCCCCCTTTTCTATAGCACCTAGCCCATATGAAATTTATAATGTAATTGGAATATTCTTAGGCAGCAATTGTAATGAGTGATTGTACTAGTGCTCATTTAGGGTGTTCTCAAGCAGCTCCCTCAATGTGATTAGCTTAGTGATCGAGATGTTGCTCAAAGCATTACGATTAATTAAGTGGTTATTACGGTTAATCGAAAAACGAATTATTAAATTTTAGCCAGTCAGAGCAGCTCTATGGTGGTTGCAGCTCCATTTTTTTGGCCAATCAGATCATTTTGTAAACACATTGAGGGAGACGGCCTATATTTTTATCAAATTTATTTAAGATTATTGAACATATTCGACTGGACATATGTTCAAGTATTATGTCCAAGTATTATGTCCAGTCCAATAACATAAAAAATAGTTGGACATATGTCCAGTGCCAACACTGCTTATAATTAGCTTCAACCTAAATATCGATATTTGAATTTTGGTATTTTTTGGAATCCACGTGACATCACAACGACTTCACCCACAAGATTTTTTCCGGCACGTGATTCTAGCCAATTAGATTAACGACCCTAGCGTCGCCCTCAAAAAATGGTAGCCGGACAGATCTGCCGGGTACATGTTATTATGTGATTGGACAATTCAATTACGAATCAGAAAATGTCCTTAGCGTATTTATCAAACAATAAATATGGTCTCTAAGTTTTCATAAGAATTTTTTTAATGAATAACATGAGTCGCTTAAAATTTTATTGTTTATACATATTCTTTTGGTTATATTTATAGTCAAATTCAATTTTTTTACGTACAAGCATTTGTTTTTTATTTCTATTTTGGACCAATAAGTTAATAATTTCAAAAGATGTGCTTCATTTA